GAGAGAAACTCCTCTGTCCCTCAGGACCCCGCCACACACAGACACACTCGCCAACTGCTTTGTTGAGCTGATTGCCTTTTGGCGGGAGGTCTCGGCCCATGACAGGCTGTCGAGGGAGGCCCAGGACAAGAGCTTAATGAAATGGCCTTTCTCAGAGGAGCCTGGGGGCTCAGGCGAGGCCGTCTTGCCCGGACTCATTTGGACGTCCATCCTCCTTTCAGTGTGAGGGCCTCTGTTCCCCGGGCCCTTCCACATCTTCGGAGCCCTGAGGCCCTGGGTTGGTTCCTTGTCTTGTTTCATTTTGTTTCCTTTGCTCTATCCCAGAAGAGCTCGCTCTTCCAGACCTGCAACCCACCCTAAAACATCCTCAGGTTCCTTGGGGTGCCAAGTGATTTAATGACATTCCCGGTACAAAAGTTCCAGCCAGAGACTTGGTTCATTGTCATTATTTCTGGAACGTAGTAAGTTCCAGTGTTCCATTTTATAGCAGAGACCCAGGGGCGTCAGTGGTGGCTCCCAACCTGGCCACTTCTGAGATTTGTGGCATCGTCCCTCAAGGATTCTACGCCTACCGAGCAAAATATGTTTTTTCAGGTAAAGGGTTATGTTCTCAGGTCGTATTTGTGATCAAAGGATGCCTGTGGCTTCTCTTCTGTGGCCAGCAGCCAGACACGGCTCTGCTCACACGGCTGGGTACAGGGCTGCCTCTGGGCAGTTACACTTTGTCACCCATGGACAGTCACAGCGACTGACCAGGATGAACACCCAGGCCCCCCCTGATAGGACACAACTGTCCCCAGAAGCCAAGACTCCTGCTGTTTCTATTACCTGCCTGTGAACCTTTCACAGGTAGATGGATGGTCCTGTCAGGCTTTGGCAAACAGCACCAGGGCTCCCCCTGTCGCTTTTCTGGTCCCTGAGGTGCATGGGAGCCCAGGTTTGGGATCACCATTGCCCCCTGGAAACAGCAGATGCCTACACTCTGTCCCTTTGTAAAGGCTGGCCTCATAGCACACTAAAAGCCCAGTCATTCCTCCAAAGAGAATGTTTAGAAAGTGTGTGTGTGAGGAAGACAGGGGGCGTGGTGGGGTGGGGTTAGTGTGGAGTGGGGAGAGGGCAGGCGTTCCAATCTTCTCATCTGAGTCCTGGGCAGCCGCCCTGCCTGGCAGCGCTTTGTGTATACTAACAGTGATGTCAGGCCCGCAGGGCGCTGCCTCCATCTCTTTGTTGCCGATGTACAGAGGGCACTGGATAGTGCGTGTCTGTGGCCACTTACTAGCCCACAGGTGGACCAACCACACACCTTTATCTTCTACAAGTTCAAGTTACCACTGAGCTGGGTGGCCACGGACAGCGTAATGCCCTGAGAAGTGTGGGGCTTGGGGATTGGCTGATATTGTCCTGTTCTCGTCCCCAGCCCTGCCCAGTGCTACGGGGGCCCCTCCTTGGAGGGCTTTACTGACCCTACCTTGACCTCTCCCTGCTCCACTGCAGGGCTCTGCCCAACCCAGCACCTTGCCAGCACCCCTTGAACTTGATAATGACCCTACCCTGGCCTCTCTCTCGGCTGTATGCTAAGTTGCTTCCTTCTCTGGCCTAGCTGTGCGGGCCTTTGGGCTGGGCTCCACCACTGAGAAGCATTATTGATTGTGAAGGATGCAATTACACCCTGTTAATGAACTGCAAACAAGTGTTCTCATCAGCTGGCTGTGCAGGGTGAAGGGAAAGGTTAGCCTGGGGCCCTGGACTTGAACTTGCTCCTGTGGGATTTCCACCTGCAGGTGAGTCTTTCAGAAGAAACAGGTGCTCTGAAAGTCCCCAGGACTCCCCTCCAGCTGGCCAGGGCCTGACAGGCTGGCAGGCTGACCGAGGCCCAGCCTGAGGTAGTCCAGGCCCCACCACTGCTGCATTTGCTCATACCAGGTAGGCACCTACCCTGGGGTCCCAACACTAGTCCTTGGGGAGCTGCCATAAAGGGAAGGGCCCCAGAGAGCTGGATTCTCCACTGTTGACCAGTCTGCAGTGTTTTGCATTTGTAGGTTTCTATGGGATAGGCCCAGGGTGTGAGGGTGGGTGCCCCATCTCTGCCTTTAGGATGGCTGTCGTGATTGAGAAGGTGTTCTCCGATGCCCTGAACTCTTAGAAAAGAACAAAGTGATGCCATCCTTTTAAACACCCAAGGACGAAAGTCAGATGTGGAAGACATTTGGAGCCTGATGCTCTGATGTCCACAGACACTTGCCTTTCCAGACTCTGCACAAAAGTCTCTGCCTCTGTGACTCATTCACTGACCTCACTCCCTGAGCACCCCACTATTACGGCTTGTGGGATTTGCCGAGTGTGTCCTCCTTCACCATGAGAGCCACAGGCAAGGATCAAGTCTAACCTATCCCGAGTGCCCAATGCACTGATGATAGATACGATAAACGTTTGACCCAGGATTTAATGAATAAGTTAATGAAATGTCTGTACGTCACCTCCAGTATTGCTCCCAGGGTGAACTGTCACAGCTTTTTATTTCGAATAGATGGTTTCCTTAGGAGGCATATTTAAATATTTAAAATTCTTAACCTTTTTNCTCCCAGACCTTTGGATGTCCTGGCCCAACCCATGTGTTTTTAACTGGGGAGACCACGATAGAGTTGCCAACTTCTTAGCTGGTCGAGAGCCACCAGTTACTGGCACCAGGTTTCCATGATAATGGGACATTTTAACACCAACAGTAGGTGAGTGTCCTTATAGACTAAGAGACTGTCCTTTCCAAGATGAGCCAGTTGCACTCGTCACCTGGCATACTCTACATTGTCCTTCTGTCACGCAGCCACGGACAGGTGAACACTGTGCCCTGGGCCAGCACTGGCCCACAGATTGGCATTGGTGTCCTTCCCCTAAGGTGCCACCACTGGCTTCTCCTTTATTTGGGGTTCCCAGCATTGCGTGGGGGCACAGGAGGGGCCTTGCTGGGGCTCCGTCCTTCACCTGGGGTTCCTATACCTTCTCTTGGTGTTGAGGCTAGGAGGAGGGAGACAAGGCAGGCGGAGAGACAGCAGTGAGGCCGCTGCCCAGACACAGGGAGCCTGGATCTGAACCCACTTGGTCTAAGCCTGCATGACCAAGAAAACTCCCACCAGCACCTGTGCACTGGCCAGAAAGAATGCAGTGACCCCAGGTGAGGTTTTCCAACTGGGAACACAGCAAGTAAAAATACATTCCATTCTACTCTGTTCTGTAGTAAAAAGAGGAACTAAAAATGAAAGATACTTGATCCATATATCTGAGAAGCAGGGGATTAATGCAGAACATAGAGAATGAACCTTTCTAGTTTGCCTTTGTTTGGAGCACAGTCCCCCCCAAGTGCTGGGTGGTAGAGTTTCCCCAGCAGAGGGAGAGGTGTCAGGGGTGGTGCTCGGGCGAGAGGCGGCCTGTGCTTCCCAACAGGCCCTGGCAGCAAGGCGGGGCTCACCTCCTCAGCGTACTTGCCCACGTAGGAGAAGATCTCTGAGAGCGCACTCATGGTGTTGAACTCATTCATGTGCATCCGGGACTGCTCGGCCAGGTATGCATTCATGTCCTGGTCACTGATGGCCGGCATCTTCCCGATGTCTGAGTAATACCTGCCGAGGGACGGGGGTGGGGAAGTAAGGGGTTGGAGCCATGCACAGGGAGGAGCAGAGACAGAGCCATTCCTAGCACTGCATCTGGGCCACCAGAGGCCTGTGTGTGAGCCCTTGGGGACTATGGTGGGTGCTCCCCCATCTAGGCTTCTGGGTCGGGCCCAGAGAGAGCCCTTTGCAGCTCTGGATGCAGGAGGCACAGAGGGAAGGGGTGTGGAGAGTGGCCCAGACATTGTCAGAGGGTGGGCAGGGGTGGGACCAGGAGTAAGGAGGAGCCATCTCTTGCAATGGCGCTGCTCCCAGCTAACTGCAGGAGTGGCCCAGTGGGTCGCTCATGTCCCTTGAACACCCCCCTCCCATAGACGTAAGAGGCCCCCCCCAGAGGACCTGAAGGCTCTTCTAAGTAGTTGTTCTGCCTTCCTTGATGTCCGGCCCTTCCTGGGGTTCACCAGGAGGAGCTGGGGGCTGCTTGGGGAGTGAGGCTGGTGGAAGGCAATCAGTCACTGTCACTTGCAGCGGTGCACTGCTGTCAACTGGTTAATTAGATGCCAGCACTTACATTTTTAATTTCTGCAATTTGACATTTTATGCAGCAAACCCCAACTCCCCTGCCAGAGGGGAGCTGTGTACTTTCTAATGAGGAACCGAAGGCAGCCACGCCCCACTCTCTCCCAGGGCACTTTCTGGGTGTGAGCTACATAAAAGGGACCAGGGACCTGCAAAGGAAGGGAGACCTTGGGACAGTGGGAAAGCACACCCAGGGGTCCCGGCAGGACCCCACCCAGCTTCACCCACAAGGAATACCTGCAGCTTCAATGCCAGGGAAAGCAAACCTGGGAACCCAGAATAGAGGATGGTGCGGGGACAGTCGCCAGGCCAGGGACTAGGGTGAGGCAAGTGAGGCATCTGGGGCACAAAGTGTTAGGAGAGGCACTCACTCTCACCTGGGTAAGTGCAGGTGACCATGACAGGCCCTGGGAGTTCCCAGAACTCATGGGTTGATCAGGTGAGTGTAGGGGGCATGCCCAGAGGCTCCCGTACAGTCTCACCCTGGTCCCTTGTCCCCGGCCCTGTGTCCCTCCCAGATCACACCCTTCACTGCGCAGATCATGAATCCATCAGTCCCATGCCTGGTCCCCCACCACCAGCTGTCCCCATGGGTGACCAGGAGTTGGGTGAGAGGCTAGCAGAGGTGGCACTCCTGTGCAACTCCAGCCATCACNTGCTTCTCCTTGTCTCCCAGAGTGGTGGACAGCTTGACACCAGGGCTGCCAGGAGACATTCTTGTTTGTGGTGGGAGACTGGACCAGTCGGCATTGAAGGTCCTTTCAAGATTCCAGGTTTCCATGACTCTCATTAGAACATCTCTCCCTAGAGCCCCTGCTCACCTAGGACCCATGCATGAGCATACCTCTGCCTGGTTGACTAAAATGACGTTTCTGTAGATGGAAGGACAGATGGAGAGACGGATCCAGGGCCGAGGTCAATGGTTATGTCCCTCCTCCCATTTCTGGCCATGTCCTTCAGCTTGACTCTTGGGGCCTCCCAGACATGACGCGCCGGGGGCTGAGTTTGGCTGGCAATTTGGTCCGTCTCTGTGCTTGAGTTCATTTCTTTCAATGATGACTGCTGAAAAGATGGGGAGGAGAGTGACTAAAGAGACAGCCGAGATGTTGATGAAATAATTCCCTAGGCGGTCTGGACAGTTCAGTGACAAGGTTATCGATCTGCATAGCAATGGTACCAGGTTCCACCAAGGGAAGAGAGGTGAGGCTGTGTGCCCCAGCTTTGTCTAGTGTTCTCAGGAAGGATGGTGGTGACAGAGCCATGGAGACAGCTGGAGGTAGGATCTCCTGGATGCCTGGACACACTCTGGGTTTTAGGTTGACCTTTGATGAGCGATGACCAAGGAGGATGAAGGTGTTTTCTCCAGACAGCACTCAGGATCTGGCGATGGGTTACACCTGTGACTGTGGTCGTAATTCATTTGCGCTTGGGGGTGAGTGGACAAACAACAAATTACACTTCCAGGGTAGATGAACTTCTTTCTTCTTCTCCCATTCCATTTCACATTTCTGCCCCTCTGAGCCAGATGGGAAGGTGAGGGGTGTCTCCGTGGTAGACTGCAACGGCTCTTCCTCCTCCTGTCTGGCTTTCCACAGGCAAAGGAGGAGACTGGGCAGGCATGTCCCTGGGAGCACTTGGAAGATGGAAGGGGACAAGGAGACCGCTGGCTGCCAACCCCACAAGTGAGAGGCAGTTTGCAGAGCACCTCCCCACTCCTCACCTCTGCCCCCAATTCCTGCTGCGTGCGGGAGGTGTGGCCTTTCTTCTCACAGTTGCCAAGGGACCATACCACTGATTGACCCCTTAGAGACAGAAACGTGGAAGGGAGAGCCAGGTGACACCTTCCCAGCAAATATAATACTGAGCGCACTGCCTCTTCTCCAGGCCAAGGTTTGGACCCATGTCGGGGCTCGCAAGAAGCAGAAGGTGAAGTAGCAGCATAGAAACGTCCTCTGTCCATGGCTCCTCATCCACATGTGGGCCCTGTGGCTAATGCACGGGGTCAGCTGGGAAACAGCCCCTTCTGGAATCTTATGGTCAGGTCCCTTGCTGTGGGCCTGGCCGTCCTGGGCTAGCTGAGGGTTGGTGGCTTGGTTCAATGGTGTTGGCAGAGAGACTGAAAGAGAAGGGGTCCAGGAAGCAGGGAGAGACAGAAAGAGGCAGAGAGAGAGAGAGAGAGAGAGAGAGAGAGAGAGAGAGAGAGAGNGGGGTGTCTCGGGCCTTCTGCCCGCAGAGCACCGCCCTACACCTTCCCTCCCTCGTTGGCGTTCTGGGCCGGAAACACTTGTTCTTAATTAGTAATAATGAACTCTAACCTTCACTTGGTTAACTCTTTGATTTGGCATCCTGTGAAGCCAAAGGAAGTATCCCCTTCGTCCTGAGAAAGGAGACAGATGGGAAATGGGGCTTTCCTGTGAGGGTTCTGGAAACATCAGCAGGACTTGCCTCTGAACCAGAGGGGAGGTCATTCGACAAATCATTGCTGTGGGTTCCACGGGGCCCTGGCTGGACCACTCAGGGAGGTGGGAGGGGCCCAGCGCAGTCCCAGAGGGCTGGCCTGGGGGCGCTGAGCTGCCCACAGAGGGGCTCGGCGGCTCTGGTTCTTTAGTGGACATATGGCATTGGGGCAGAGGATACACGTGCAGGAGGCGGGCAAGGGGGACAAGCGGTGGTACACTCAGAAGCCAGACATGCAAGGGGGACATGAGCACAAGGACCTTGGCACGGGGAAGGGTGGGGGGCTCTGGGATAGCACACGGACGTTAACCCCAGGTTGGGAGGTCAGAGCTGGGCCTGAGCAGACAAGGTCAGAGACAGCTGCCGGCACCCCCCACTTCTGCCTGGGCACCGTTCTGGACAGTCTGGGTCAAACTTTGGGATTTATTTTAAATGACTTCTCTCGCTAAAGCATCTTGGGCCTCACTCACTGGTGCCCAGGCTCGTAAGAGGGAGGCTACAGGGGCCGCCTGTGGGTGTGCATGTCATGCTGGGTGGGGGGTGTAAACGTACCTTGGCCTGTGAGACACTCAGGTGGCCCCCAAATTTAAAACCGCATGGGAAGAAGGCAAGACAAAATATTTTCCTGAGGAAGTAACTGACACAATAGCCAACCTCACTTAACGGCACTATTTGTAGTTATCTTCAAATGTCAGGGTCTCTCCTTACGAGGAAGGACAGAGAGGGGCAAAGCCCATACCTGGGCAGACTTGTGTGTCCCCCCCTCCCCCCACCGGAGACATGACCAGCCTGCAGCTATCTTTCTCAGCTTCTAGTTACCCATTCTTTTATGTTTAGGACCTCACAAGGCTCCCCCACTCACTTCACACCCCTAAGCCTTCAGCCCATCCCCCTCCAATTTAAAAGCCCCACCTCACCCAGGTCTGTTATTTTGACTGCATCGTCTTTTGGTACCATTGTGACCTTGGTGGTTTCCTGGGGCGGAGGGTGCAGGAGTGGGAGTTCAGGGGGTGGCCTTTTTACCCCGTCTCTCTGCCTAGGACTCCAGGAGTCAGATAAAGATTCCACCTTAAACAGAATTTTGACCCTGCCAATGACCTGTGCCAGAGCGGAAAGCCTCGAGAGCACCACCCGCCTTCCACAGGACTGAGTCTGCCCAACGCCCTTCTCTGGCCGCAGCTGCCCCCTCATGCCGCCTGGACAGCTCTCTGGCCTGCCAAGAGGAGATCGGGGACTCCAAGGGGAGTTTTGGATAGGAGATCGGGGGAAGAAAAATCGTAGCTTTTGGACAATGCTGCCTTGTCTTCACTTTGAAACATATCACACGTGCGCCAAGAATCCATATGAAAGCAATGGAAAAACGAACAAACAACCAAAGGAAAGAATTTTGATGGGCAAAATGGGTTGTGGCTCTCTGCTATTTCTCCATCCCCAAGCAGGCCACGGAGATTGCAGGCACACAAAGCACCAGCAACAGCCCATCCCCCCAATTACAGGAAAATCTGCCCAAACGCCTCCCTCAGGAGGACTGAGGAGAGCGAGGAAATTTGTCTGTCCTCCCCTCCTCTTTCTTCCTGACATTTATGTTTCTCTGAGGTGTTCGAAGTTTCTCTTATAACAAAAACATGGAAAAAAAAAAAAGTCCTGTACCGACAAAGGAACAATAACAATAATAATAATCCAGTAAAAAATAAAAGCTTCAGCAGAATCATGATCACAGTCTTTTTTTTCTGCTTGTTCATTTTTTGTTTTCTCTATCTGTGCAAAACGTAAAAAATAAAACACACGCACTCAGACACACGCGGACACACACACACGCAGCTTCCATTCAGCAAATCTGTGTTAAATATGTTTGTGTCTCTCTCCTCCCCAACCTTTCACATGTGCAAAAATATTTTANATATCTGCCCACGGGCAGCTGGTTGAATGACTAGCAGAGGGCACAGCTTTCCTGGACCCAGGCCGGGGCCAATGCT